CCCCAAAACCCCAAAACCCCAAAACCCCAAAACCCCTTTTCACCTAGATTTGGTTGAAAATTCCAAGTCATGATCGATTTACCTCAATTGATCGGACAATTAGAGGATAAATGAGTTTTCTTATTAAATAGCAGAGAAACTAGAGAGAATGAAAGATATATAACCTCCAATATAATCAAGATGCCTAAAATGAGTGCACCCCTATAATTACTTCTCCTAAGGCATTATTAATCAAGCGCTGATCAAGCTTCACCCAAAATACATCCTAATGGAACAATGTAACCAAGAGCTCATAATATGCTCCCTTAATAATGCTAGAGCATGTTTATTTTCTTTAGTGTTATATCTAATATTGACCACAAAATACAACGGTTAAGAATGTCTGACAGTGAAGCAAGACAAAAAGGAATGGTTTTCGAATTTTGTAAGACCCTCAGAATTCGAACATCCTTAAAATTTAAATGAACGTGGAATGAATGGTTTTGCTATTTTTAAGAAATTATACAAGAGTATAGAGTTAGGCCGCAAGGAAGTAGATGCTTGAAGTTGAAGCTTTGAGTTATCTCAAGTAACAGTCAGCTGAAAAGTATTTTTCATTTCTGATTTTTGCCTCTGCAAGCAAAAGCTGCTCTTCTGGAATTCTTTTGTCAATAATGAATCTGAATCCCTCTTCAAATTGTCTCAGCAAGCTAAGACCTGCATCTCCTTGTAATTTCGGCCTGTATTTGTCCATACTCATATCATATATTGCCTGAATACACCAGGCTTAAATTCCTTGCCTAAAGACAAGAGCAACTATTGCTGCGCTTAAGTTTCAATTTGGGTTTGATCAAGCCCATTTCTCTGAGTTTCTTATAAAGTATCTTTTTACTTCTGCCAACACCTACAGTGCTCATATCAGTGCTAAGAAGAACAGGAAATGAACGCTTCAGTTCTGGAGTAGTATGTTGATGATGACATTTGATAGGAACTCCAATCGGCAAGGAATCAGGTGATGAGTTTGTCTCCTTCTCTTCGAGAAAGTTGTTAGAACTATCACAGCTTTCTCCACAGCTTATCTTCCTCTGGATTGATTGTAGGAAGGAGTTCAGGTTGTTTGGAATCAGCTTCGGGTCCACTTGAACCTTGTTACCTTTCTCCTCTGATTCTACTTCATCACTTTCAGTAATTCCGAAGTCACAGTTTAATTCATTGATAGAAATAAGCCCTTGGCTCTTGATTTCTGCAGTAGAGCTTCACCTTCCAACTTCTTCAACAAAAGCGTATTTAATACCTGTAGAAGTAGGTAAGGTGTTTGGTTTAGCCTTGGCTTGGAACTTAGGATTGAATCTAATTGGTCGAGCTGGCCTATCCACCTTCGAATTATTTAACTCTCAGTAGCATACAACACTGCCCATTTTGACTTAATTTAGATTATAATATTCCTATAAAATGTGGAAGACTTGGGGTTTTGGGGTTTTGGGGTTTTGGGGTTTTGGGGTTTTGGGGTTTTGGGG